AAAAAAATCGCCCCACTCAGGGCGCTAGCCTGTTCCTTTGAGGCGGGGTGGGGAACCTTTTTGAGTGTTTCCATTTCTTTCTAGGCAACACTGGACCCCCCGTGACTCTTATGAGGGGGTCAAAGAATCCTAGAATCACAGAACACTAGGACTGGACGGGCCCTCGAGAAATCATCGAATCCAGTCCCCCGCCCTCATGGCCGGACCCAGCACTGTCAAGATCAGGGCTACTCAACTTTGGAAGCCACAATGATACTCACAGCACATGCCGAGGGCTGCAACTTAAGTGTGGTTGTATAGACATGCAAATAGATATGCAAATAGCTTCTTTCACAGTGACAGGCATGAATACAAAGCACTTCCCACAATGCCATGGCACTCCTGGAATCTGCTCCTTGGGGGCTAGAAACGCCGACACCCTGTATCCGTCTGTTGCAGCCAGCCCGTCCGCTTGCGTCTTTCAGTGCTCGCCCTGCCTGGGAGACGCCTTGCTGTTGGGGAGCGTGTTCCCAGCGGGGACCACGTTCAAAGGATCCCACCTGCAGGCCACGTGTTGAACGCCGTGTAAACCCAACCCCCCTCCCGCGGGCCGCAAACAAACAGGCAGAGGAGTGGTCAGCATCACGCCTCCCTTTTTGATTTTTGAGAAACCCTCACCCCCCCCACCCAAAAAAATAGCAGCAAAACTTGGGGTGGGATTGACGGGGTGGGTGTGTGGCTGGGTCGCCTCGCACCCCCCCTGGAATTTCTTCACACCCCCCTCCAGGGAGACACGTCCCCCAGTTTGGGAACCCCTGGTCTAGATCCTCCCTGACAGGTGTCTGTCCAACCTGCTCTTCAATCTCTCCAGTGATGGAGATTCCACAACCCCCGTAGGGTCTGGCAACCATCGTAGGGGTTTTGGTACAATACCCAGGCCGGGGACTAGAGGGCGAATGTACCTCCACTGCCTCCACTCTACCCACTTCCCCTGGCTTCCGTGTTAAGGTCAGTCACATCAGGGCAAGTCATCGCAGGCTTCCCTTCTCGGGAGCACGTGAGTGGGGGACAGGGGAGTCACAAAGCAGCCACCTGGCTTGTACTCACGATGTTGGGGTGTGAAAGCCGCAGCAAGACACCGATTTCAGTCCGTACGATCTTTTTGTCAATCTAAAACCAAACACAAAGAAGGCCACAGCAATCGGTGCTTTGCATCACCCTTCCGGACACCTGGCGGGACCAGCGCGTGCCCACCGAGGCCTCTGCTGCTGGTAAGAACCAGGCTGGAATTAATTCCGAACCGGATCGGATTAACCATGCTCCGTGGCTCCCCTTTCCACTCAAGCCACATATGTGTAAGAAGGGGACGCCCCGATCCCAAGCAGAGCCCCTAGAGCCAGAGCCTCCCCCACATGTAACCACTGACATTTTTCAGCGGTTTACACGTTTATCTAAAGAAACGCATTTTAACGTCCCTCGTTTTGAGAGACACCCTCACCTATTTACTGGGATAGACGCAAATATAACACTTCGTTATTTCCATTTGCATTGTCCTTTCTGTGAGACTAATCCACATTTTTTTCATAATGCTTTGAGGCCAGCTTAAGTTTGATGTCCCTTAGGGCCTCAGCGTGTCTTAACCCAGCCCTGGCTGTGCAGCTGTGTGGAAGTCTAGCTAGAAGAGTGCTGGGTTTTTGCCATCCTCCAATTATCTGGCCAGGGCCCATTGTACAGAGAGGAATTGTAATCCAGATCCACGCAAGCTGGGGGCCAGATCCGGCCCCCGGGCCATAGGTTTTCCCTTGTTCCTCGGTGTGGGGTTTGTACACCCTATCCCACAGCCCAAACGACATAGAGAAGAAACATCTGCTTGGACCCATGCAGATCCTGAGCATTCGAGGCAGAATTTGGAACCAGGGAGCCCAAAATCCAGACCCTTCACTTACTGGGGAATCAAGGGTTGGTCTTGACTTGTTCGCTCATGTCGGCTTTACAATCTGTAGAGCTCTGCGTGGAAACCAAGTTGAGATCCACGCCCGCATTCACAAAAATGAGCCACGGATATCCGCATCTACGGCCGCGGAGGTGGGTACCCGGGGATATAAAGCAACTAGCTGCAAGTTTGCCGGGTTCTAGGTCCACAATTTGCATCTGCACCCGTACCTGCAAGAATGAGTTGCAGATATGCATATCCGTGGGCGTGGATGATAAAGCAGACATCAGCGGGTTTGCAGGTCTCTACCACTCTGCCTTGTCCGCACTAGGGCTATGTCTACACTGGCGCGATCTTGCGCCAGAAGTATGCAAATGAGGCTAAGCGCGGAATATTGCCGAGCCTCATTTACATACCTAATGAGCCGTCATTTTTGCAGAAGATGCTCTTGCACCAGAAGGAGCTGTCTACACTGCCCCTTCTTGCGCAAGAAAAACCCTCTTGCGCCATGCCGTTATTCCTGAAAATAATCAGCGTAACAGCATTGCACACTGCAGGAAGTCCAAGGGGCACCCGCTCCCTTCGACTTGCCTTACTCCTCGTGAAAGCAGGGCTACCAGCATCGACTGGAGTGCACCTCTCAGTCTGAATTGTCTCACCTTCTGGCGCAAGAGCCTCTTCCGCAAAAATGCCGGCTCATTAGGTATGCAAATGAGGCTGGGCGATATCCCACGCTTAGCCTCATTTGCATATTTTGGGCGCAACAACCCACCAGTGTAGACATAGCCTAGGGGGTGCGTCTACACGGCACCGTTATTCCAGAATAACGGCCGTTCTTCCAGGAAAACAATGCGAGCGTCCACGCAGCAATTGCGTTATTTCGAAAGAAAATCGAAATAATGAAGGGCTTTTTCCGACGCAGGTAAACCTCATTCCATGCCGCTTTGAAAAAAGCTCTTTCGGAAGAGGCTGCGTGTGGACGCTCCGCTGCGGCTATGTCCAAATAACTCCTTCCCAGGGCCATTCTGAGTTATTCCTCCCCAGTGCCGCCTGGGGCTCTAAACCAAAGTGGCGCGTCCACATTAGGGGAGCCTGCCTCGGACTCATTTGGGGTATGTCTACACTACCCTCCTAGTTTGAACTAGGAGGGTATTGTAGACATACCCTTGGAGACTTCCCTGTAGTGTGGACGTTCTATTTCGAAATCAGCTATTCCGGAAGATATCTTGCCACTCAGAGCTGGTCTTAGAGGCTGGCGAGCCAGGCGGTCGCCCAAGGCCGTCATTTTCAAGGGGCCGTCGACAGAGCGGGTCTTAAGGGCGAATCCTCCCCCAGGTTTCCCTGGTTTCTCCCTGGCCCTTTTTTAAACTTTTTGCTCGACAAATTTTCTCCGGTGGGTTTTGCTTGCCAAATTTTTGTCCATTTTTTTTAAACCATCTGGCAACCCTACCAGCCAGCCAGGCAGTTGCCCGGGGCAGCCAATGGGTTCGGATCGGCCCTGTGGCCACTTGCAGCGAATGCCTGCTCAGAACCATTCAGAAACCATCGAGGGGCCTTCATCCAACCAACTCACCGTCTTCTTCAGGAGTTTGGCAGCGTACGGCCTGCGGGTTCCTCTCTCTTCGCAGCTGTATACCACGGACGTGGCGCCCCTGCGGAAAGAAGGAGAGGTCCGCCGTGTTACCAGCCCCCCGGACGGAAAAGCCACGTCGGCTCAAAGAAGCCTGCAAGGGAGGGCTGGGGGTGCCCTTTGGAACGGTTGTTTTTGATGGAGGGTGACGGGGTTAGGGGTTCTGCTTGCTTTTGAAGTTCAAGATTGGGGTCCCGGTCTGTACAAGGGCTAAGGAGCTCCTGCCGGCTTTCTCCAGATCCCAGGGCTGTACCATGGATAGGCAGAGCTGAGACTGGACAGCCCCTCCCTGGGGGTTACACTCAGCATTGTGCTCGTTGGGGCACCTCCCTATGGCGTCCCGGTGCCTTGGTTTATGGCACTTCCTGTCACCTTGGGCACATGTGGGAGGCAGCGATGGCTAGTGGCTGCAGCCCTGACCTTGGCCATGTTACTTCCCTCTCTGTGCCTCAACCTCCCCATCTCTAAAATGGGGCTGTGACACTGAGGTTCTTTGTCCAGTGCTCAGGGCCCACGCCACCAGTGCAGACGTTTCACCGGCCACCCTGGAGTAGCAGCCCTGGGGGACGGGATGGGCACCCTCATGTCGCGCTTTGTAACTGCTTGTTCCACGGCTGTCGTGTGACACGAGGGCGAGGGAGAAACTGTGACCTGTGAGTGCACCAGGATCAGCGCGCTCAGCCGTACAAGGGCTTAATGTCCTTCCCCCCCTCCCCAAATCGCTTCCGGCTTTCCTAGCTAAAACCATTTTAATTAAAATCGGAATATTAAGCCGGCCTAACCCCTTAAGCAGCTTTGAAGAGAGAAAGATGCATCCCCACCCTACCCCACCCCCAATCAGTGAAGCAGCAGCATGCGGAGGCCTGAGAAGAGATGACGCCCTTATCGGGGAGAGGAGAGGGAGGCTCTGGGGAGTGTCCGACAGGTGCAATCCCAGAACAACCCCCCCCCACATGCCACAAGCACCCCCTGCGCCTTGGCACCAGGGTGCTCATGCCACCATGGTGCTTTCCAAGCACATCGTGCTCCGCTTGCCAGCTCCCCCAGCTCAGCCCAAAGGGGGGTGTGATCGACCCCGTTTTACAGATGGGGAAACTGAGGCACGGGGCATTCTCATAAAAGCAATCTGCTCCTCAAGTCACACCACCACCCAGTGGCACGGCTGGGACTAGACGCAGGTCTTCCGGCTCACCGGCTAGTGACCGTAGCCCAGGGCAAGTCCGGGATTGTGTCTGGGGACACACCTGCACTGTGAGCAGGAGGAGACATAACCCACTGTGTCCGTGTCAAAAGAAACAGGCTTCATGTTTAGATCGGGCTAGCTGGAAAAGGGCATATACAGCCGGGTTTCCTCTCTCAATTTCCCACCCCCCTCCAACCCAAATGGTCCAGGGAAGGTACCCATGTACCAAATTAAGCTGCGTTAGGTTCCTCACGAGGAATCAATCGTTATGTTTAACCCCCCGCCTACACTGTGAGTCTGTCACCAGTAATTTTTAGATCTCGTTAACAGCGTTTGCTAAGCAGCGGACATTGAAATCAACCCCCTGCAATGTCATCGTTGCTTCAGGGTTCCTCAGAGCAGGTTAATTCTTGTCCCGGGGGGGGGGGGGGGGGGGGGGGCAACTTTGCCCTTGCACCCCCCCTTGGATGTATCTCCTCCATCGGCCACTCAATGTGAACTTTCTGCACGGCTAGTTGGGAACCCAAACGAGGCGTTTTCACATCATTGTTGCCACGTAATCTGCTCAGGAGAGAGATGCTCATGTTTGCGCGTCTTCCTGCTTACATTCTCTGGGGCAGCAGCAGGATTTAGACAAATTAGCTCCACCCCAGCTGGTCTGCGGGGCCGGCCCAGGTGCTGAGCTTCTAGAAAACCGTCCCCTTCGCCTTCTGCTGCAAGCGCTGAGCAAATATCCGTAATCGCCCTTGACTCTGAGGGGAGAGCTAATTGTGTGTGCTTTACAGTTGACTGGAAAACGTGTCACAGCGGAATTTGCCGAAAGAAGCCTGGATTTCCAGTGTCGTTTGCAGAGGAGCCAAAGTCAATGAGCTGAGTTTTGGCCTTGCTGGGGGGGGGGATGCTCCCGCAGCTAGAGTGTTCCTGACCCATCCTACTTGTGCACAGCTGGTGGGCTGCTCCTAGCCCCTAACGGAGAGACTGGTCGGGGTGTATCGCCCTGCAGCTGTTCTCCATTTCCCAGGGGCCCACAGGAAACAAAACATAACTTAGAGCAGCCTCGAGGGTGCTCTAACTTGCTCCTCTTGCCTCCATAACCCCAGAACACCGCTGGCACAGTGGCTGAAAGAACAGCTCCAAAGTAACTATAAATCAGGCCTCAGCCATGCGGTGATGAGGCTCCAGGCTGGCCGGTCTCTCCCCTTTGCCAAGCCCTCCCTGTCTAACACACAAGCAAAGCGCTCCGTTCACCCCCCTTTCCTGCACAGAGGCACTGCCTCTCACCTGGGACCCCCCGATGCTACAAAGACACAGCAGGATTGTGACCCGTGGGTTTGGCACGTTGTACTCAGCGCTAGCCGAGACGACCGCTGCAAACTCTCCTCGGACATCACCGAGAGGTAGATATTTTCATTTTATAATTCTAAGACAATCCACAGTCTGTTCCCCCCCTTCCGCCAATAATCGGACACATATTGGATTTAAGACCCCCGTCTCAGGCAGGCCCCGTCTCAGGCAGGCCCGGTCCTCACACAAATAAGGTTTCAGGCTCCAGGCCTGCTTTTTGTTCCCCACTGCGATATCTGTCAGTAATTAATTTTTACAGGGAATAAGCTAGTAGCTGAGTCATAGAATCATAGAACCATAGAGCTGGAAGAGACCTCAGAAGGTCGTCAAGTCCAGCTCCCTGCTCTAGGCAGGACCAATCCCAACTAAATCAACCCGGCCAGGGCTTGGTCAAGCCGAGACTTAAACACCTCTAGGGATGGAGACTCCACTACTTCCCTAGGGAACCCATCCCAGTGCTTCACCACCCTCCTAGGGAAATAGTTTTTCCTAATATCCAACCTGGACCTCTCCCACCACAACTTGAGACCATTGCTCCTTGTTCTGCCATCTGTCACTACTGAGAACAGCCTCTCTCCATCCTCTTTGGAACCCCCCTTCAGGAAGTTAAAGGCTGCTATCGAATCCCCCCTCACTCTTCTCTTCTGCAGACTAAAAAGACCCAAGTCCCTCAGCCTCTCCTCATAAGTCATGTGCTCCGGCCCCCTAATCATTTTGGTCGCCCTCCGCTGGACCCTCTCCAATGCATCCACATCCTTTTTGTAGTGGGGGGCCCAGAACTGGACACGATACTCCAGATGTGGCCTCCCCAGAGCTGAGTAAAGAAGAATAATCACATCTCTGGATCTGCTGGCAATGCTCCTCTTAATGCAACCTAATATGCCATTAGCCTTCTTGGCTATAAGGGCACACTGTTGACTCATATCCAGCTTCTCATCCACTGTAACCCCCAGGTCCTTTTCTGCAGAACTGCTACTTAGCTGGTCGGTCCCCAGCCTGTACCAATGCTTGGGATTCTTCCATCCCAAGGGCAGGACTCTGCTCTTGTCCTTGCTGAACCTCATCAGATTTCTTGTGGCCCAATCCTCCAACTTGTCTAAGTCACTCTGACCATTTTTTGCTCAACCCAGTCTGTCTTTGGAACTGATGCGTGCCATATTCGAAGGCCCTCCCCCCTGCTCCTGATCAATACCCTTGTCTCTGCTCATGTGTCTGGTAATGGTTTATGGATTCCCTCCCCCACCATGCACCCTTCCTTAAACTGGGCGCTGTGATTCACTATCTGATTAGAAGAAACTGTTGGCTACATATCAGTCCATGAAAGACGTTCTGCTCGGTCAGTTTCAGCACTAAGTGGCACATGCATGTGGAGAACGGTGTTCTATCACCTCAGATTACACACATCTGCACAAGCGACACCATCACAGGACCTAACCACACACGCCACAACAGCAGGGGCTCCTACAACCACACATCCTCTAATGTGACCTATGCCATCAAGTGCCAGCAAGACCCCTCTCTGCCATGGATAACATCAGAACCGGACAGGCTCTGCGACAAAGGATAAATGGCCACAAATCAGACATCAGAAATGGAAACACACAGAAACCTGGAGGGAACGTTTGACCTGCCTGGGCACTCAGCCAGGGATATAAAAGTAGCCGTTCTTCTACAAAGGAACTTCATCGGCCAATTACACAGAGAGAGTGAGTGCGGAATTACATAACAACATAAGAACGGCCATACTGGATCAGATCAAAGGTCAGTATCCTGTCTGCCGAGAGTGTCGGATACCAGATGCCCCAGAGGGAGGGAGCACAACAGGGAATCCTCACACGATCCCTCCCATGTCACCCATGCACAGACAAACAGAGGCTAAGGACACCACACCCTGGCTAACAGTGATTGATGGACCTCACCGCCATGAATCTATCTAGCTCTTTTTTGAACCCTGTTAGAGTTCTAGCCTTCCCCACATCCTCTGGCAAGGAGTTCCACAGATTGTGCACCGAGTGAAGAAAATCTTCCTTTGGTTTGTTTTAAACCTGCTGCCTATTCATTTCAATCGGTGACCCCTGGTTCTTATATTGTGGGAATAAGTCAATAACTTTTCCTTTATTCACTTTTTCCACCTCAGTCATGATTTTATAGACCTCTATCCTATCCCCCCTTAGTCTCCTCTTTTCCTAGTCTTTTTAATTTCTCTTCATATGGGACCGGTTCCAAACCCCTCATCATTTTTGGTGCCCTTTTCTGAACATTTTCCAGTGCCAATATATATTTTCTGAGATGAGGTGACCACATCTGTATGCAGCTTGCAATTGGTATTCATCTGGAAATGTGACACTGTTTCCCTGCGTCGGAACAAAGACATTAACTGGATGTCACATTATAAAGCCAGACTCCCCTGCTTTTAATGACTGCATTTTTACATCAAAAGCTAAGAATGGGACCCTTCCAGCCACCTTAATTACCCTCGTTAGCACCGGTCTTAC